TCTTTTTATAAAATATATTTTGCTTGGTCATCTTTCTTAATGTTACTCATAAGTAGTGTATTTATAACAGTGTACACTTGACAGAAATCGTCGTAATTTATTATTATGGCATGTCACCTAGCATTTTTCGTTCCTCCTATGTTTTGCTAAGTTTGAAAAGAAGTTAAAAAAAACTTCCTTAATATACAATATAATAACTGAGGGTTTGAGTCTGAGGAACTGTTTTGGATATTAAAAAACTATTTTATTATCATTCATCTGCCTAGGATTATGCATATGATTTTAAATTGTGTTCTTTTAGTTAGAAGTAATTCCTATATAAATGATGGTTTATACAGTTAAGTTACAATAAATGAGAGCACAAATTTGAAAAACAAATAAATAAAAGCTTCACCTCTTTCTAATGATTAAAAGTATTCCTCTTAACCACCTGAAAAACTAATTTTTTTTTTCACAAAATAATAAGGCTCATATATAGTAATGTTGTAATATAACAAGACCCGAGTGTAGAATACAGTTTGAATTATTTTTTAAAAGCGTGGATCATATGTTTTATATCCACTCAATGCTTTCTACATTAAAAATAGAAAATGTTATTCTTGGATTAACATTAAATATGTACATTTTAATTATTAAAATATAACGGTTCTCTTTTTTTACCCACCCTCAAGAATCGACTGTCTACTTTCCAAACAAAAGTCATTGCATCATTGACAACAAACAACAATATATGGCAAGCTGAAATATTGTGGACACTGAGAAGCATCACCTCTAACTACTCCTACAAAAATTGAGAGGATAATTCTAAACTTTTCCAATTAATGTTTCCTGATAGTGCAGTTGCTTGCTCTTATGCTTGTGTGGAGAGAAAAAATTATTCATGGTTAATCATGGTCTTGCCTCGTGTTTCCATCTCCTTTTGGATCAATTATGTAAAAGTTAAAGTTATGTCCTACCATTTGATGAGTCATTAAACAAGTAATTGTAGCTAAAGCAATTGTACAAACTCATCTGAGACTAAATGTCAGTCACAAGTTCTATGGAGATTTCACATCTAGTGTCTTGTCTGAAGCTATAGATAGAGGGCTTGTGGACATTGGATTATGTACTTTACATAATATATACAATGTGAGTTGTATTTAGTTTCACAGTTAGGACCTAGAAAGTACATTACAGGCCTTTTACAGACTTTTTAAGGATATACCTGCTCAATGTGATTATTTTATGCCCATAACAGGCACATCTGTATTCCCACTAAAGTTTTATGCCCACCAGTGGGTAGAGAATGTTCCTGTGGCAACAAGAGCCTTGGATGTACTGCATCATTTTAGTGAGATAACTTGAAAGTGACAGAAGTTTCATCATCCCGAAGTCCAAAACATTTGCCTTAGTCAAAGAAGGATGTGACAATCTGTTCCTTCCTGCAAAGCTGCATTTTTTCACCTTTGTTGCATACCATGTGTCTGGCTATTTGGAGAATTACCAAACAGATGATTCAATGAAACTATTCTTGTCTACTGACTTGGAAAACATGACAAAGAATGTGATGAACAGAATTATCAAACGTGATGTTATCAAACCACTTTCTGACACCCTGAAAGTTGCAAAGTATGAAGTAAAGATGAGGATTTACTTAGGTTTCTAAAGTGAATGTTGACTTTTCATCAATCAGGTTTGTGAAAAGTCTTGTTTTCCAAGAAAGTCAGCAAGAGAGAGATATTTTAGAATTCCAAATGGAGGTAAGGAAGTACATTGTTCATCTGCTGGAGAAGTTATTGGACAAGAATCCTATTAAAGTCAGTTTTGTGTGACATGCTTCTTGCCTCAGTCCATCTAAAATGGCAAAGAATCCAGAAGAACGTAAGAAGAAATTATAAGGAATGTTGTTATACTTTGTTGGGTTAAAGTGATTCCCTGAATGAAAGTGTGATGATGTACAAAGGCAATTCAAGCATTTTTGCAAGATGAAGTCTCTAGCCAGTATAGCTACTTTCTTAATTATGACAGTCATCACATTGGGAAATTACTACTTGATAAATTTTTTGCTGAACAGCTAGAAGAAAGAAAAGTATCTAGAACTATGTTTCATTATCAAACTGATGCTGGTACTTTCACGTGAACAGGTTACTGTTGAAAGATTTTTTTTTGTAAATTGAAATTTCACTGTGGTTAACAAGGAGGTCACATATATCTCTCAGAGGCTAATCCAAGATTTAGTCACAGCAGCTGGAAGAATAGGAAACATACAGATTACCCCAAACAAATGTGCAAGTCTGCTAGGCAAACAAATACAAACAATACTTCATAACCCAAGAGTGCAAAAAACAAGCAAAGAAAAGACCACATGAATAAAAAATTGTGGAATTGAATGAGAAGAGAATGCTGGCTAAAAAGACTAAGCATCTGCAAGAGGAAACAGAGAAAGATCCAGAATAAGCAAAAAAATATTCAAAACCACAAGAATGAACCCATAAATATAAGTGTTTCAGAAAATCTCTGAAACACTGTGCTGTGGAATTAAAAAAGTATTAAAATTTTTTGTGTTTTGTCATGTGTGATTAATAATTTATTCATTTATTTCATTACCTATAAGACTATGCCATTTCATCTTGAAAACTTACCTTTTTTTTGAGTGTTTAATAAATTTGGTCTTAAACTAATTTTCTAACCCTCAGATTGATTTTCACATAATTTTATGTTGCTTAAATAATTATTTTATTGTTTTTGTTGGTTCATTATTTTTAGAGTTTGTATTTTTATATTATTTTTCAAGAAGTTATACTATATATTGCCAGTTCTTTATAGTAAACAGTACCTTGTAATTTTGAGACCTTTAGCGTGTACTATTCAGTATTAGTTCATAGCTTTTAATAAAATTTTGAAAATGTTAACTCAAATTAATATTCTGATAATTATTCATCAAGTGCTGGATCTATAAGTAATATACAGTGTCATAGTAGCAGTCTTTATTACGGTGTGCAATTTCACTCAACTTCCATTTATCATTCAACAAAGAATGTTTTTATTTTGGCAGGACAATGACCCTTTGTTAGCTGGCTCTCCCATTAAACCAGGGCTTTCGATAAAAGAAGGAGATACAGTTGGAGGCTTCCCTGTGAAATTTTTGTTGCTAATGGTATGTGAAATTTAGTACATGTATATGCAGAAAGTATTTAAGTGCCAGCATTATTAAATGTGTTGTAACCTTTAAAATCTTGTCATATCATATTTCTTAATTATAATCTACATGTTGCTTTCATCATGGCTTTTATTTTTATTTAGTGCATAGTGCAGGTTGTTGATAACAGCTACAAATTCTTATAGTATTTTTATAAAATAGGCAAATGAAATTTCTGAACAAGCAGAATTTTTTACCTTTTATGCTTTAATATTTTGAGTTCAGTGTGATGAAATAGATGTTTTTTATCTCACTAAATGTGAAGTTTGTAAGGACACCCATTGGCTAGTTTATCACTGGGTCTTGAAATGTTTTTTAAATGAAAAATATACAAAATTTCTGGCTTCAGTCTACCATAACTGATAGTCTGGGTCTGCTAATTACATACTGAGCTATGATTGGCTCTTATCCTAATAATGCTAGTATGCAGTTTCATATTTATTTGTCACAAGGAATGATACCTAACTCTATCATTGTCAATACTCTAGTGGAAATATATTGTTTCAGACTTATTGTTAGTGTTCCTTTATCAAGATCCTTTTGACCTGGTTCTTCTGTTTGTAATATATTTTTATTGTTATTAGAAAAGTATTGTGCTTGTGTACCAGTGTAATTATTCATTGTGTTAGTATTTGTTAGCTGTTCTCAGGCACATACTATCCCTGTCTGTTATCTTGGTATTCTTTAATTATCATTAGGAATGCACTTTTCCTGTCTTCCATTGTCAATAGATCCTTTAGGTTGGATCAGGATTGCATTATTCATGTCTACCAAGGCACTGATAATATTATTTCATTGTTATTATAAAAATATTGTGATTGATTTATCACTCTTAGTATTCGTTATTTCTCACTAGCCTGCCCACCATTAATAATTTATTCTTATTTATTACTAGGGACCATGTGTACATTAAGTATTATTCTTTCTTTCTTACTAAATGTATAACCACTGTAATTATTTTCACTTGTCACTAGGAACACCCATTTGCTTAAACTTCTCTGTCTTTATTTATTTTTATTTAGCCAATAGGAATATGTCATTCATATCTACCATAGGTACTCTTCCTTAGATGTCATTAAGAATCTCTTTTATGTCTGTTGTCTTCTGTACATAAGCTGTCTGACATTGTGGTTTATTAGATTATTTGTATGGTTACTGTCAAATAGAATGGATACTGATCTTCTTGTATTTTGAAAGGAGGTTATTAACATTTTATTTCAAAAAGTAATTCAATTCATTCATTTGTTCACTGCATATAAATGCTTAAATGGTGAAGAACTTGTTCTTGTGGTGATTTTTTGTTTTGTCAGGGACTAGAATTTCATAAAATAATACCTTGTTTCAAAGTATTGTTTATAACAAGCCAGTTATTCTTCTGTATTAGAACTCTAGGAAAAGCTAAGAAATCCTAGAATTTTCCAAAAAAGGTTGTATATTTTTTTTCTCTCTAGGTGCGACTCACAAAAATTCTTTCTCTAAAGAAACTAAAAATATCAGAATTAAAGAAGATGAACACAGAAGCCGAAAAAATGGTAAGTTTATGTTAAATGGCTTGGATCTATGAATGTTGGAGCTGTGCTGAGTTCTGATATTACTTTGTTTCATAGAAGAGAAGAACAACATTTTATATTGTTTGTCTTTATGTATGTGTGTTTTAAGTAAGATGTCCAGTTTCATGGTTTTGTTTTTATTGCTCTATTTGAAAGTTACCTGATATGCACTTTTTAAAATCACTTTGACTGTCATTTCTTCTTCAAATTTGTGTGGGTGTGTATAGAGAAAGCTTCATAAGTGGGTTAAGTAACCATAATCCCTAGCATTACTTTACAGTTTTCAAACTAAATATTTGCATCCAATCCAAAGTAATATATACATATATATATATTTGTAAGTTTTGGTTTTGAGCGACTACACAATTAGTCTAAATACAAAGTAATATATATGTAGATATATATATATATATATATAGATGTTAATTTTTGGTTCTGATAGACTACACAACTAGTCTACCTACAAAGTTGTGTACATAATTGTTGCTGTATTATTTTCATGTGTAGTTTTATAAAATATAAATAATTATACAATTATATATGGGTACAAAGATTTCAACAAACTGTGTTTAACTACAGTTTATATATAGCAGGATACATGTGTAGTAATTTGATTAAATGCCTGTGTAAAAACAAAGTGAACACTTAACATGGCAGAATTCCTACACAGCAGTTTTTTCTTTTTCTATCAATTACAAAAGTTTTAAGAATTTATTTTTTATAACTAAGGAATGGATCAAATTTTATAAGTGAACATCATCTTTTTTAAAGGTGATGAATTTATATATATATATAAAATAAAGGAAAAAATATTTTTTGCTTCAAAAAGTGTTAAATAAAACCAGAGAAAATTCAGAGAAATCTAACAAATTATTTTTTTACATTGGTGTTTTTAGTGTTCGTATCAACAACCTATTCCTTTAGAATTCCAGAAAAGATATGCATCAATAATTTTGGAATTTGAAAAGATGAACAAGGATTTGAATGAACACCTACTAGAAGTTCAGCAGTTCTGTTTGGAGGTATGCTTAATATGTTGCTTTATATAAAGACTACTGAGCACCTTTAAGGTGTCAAGAGCACACACACACATGCGTGTATAATTTTAAAACTTAAAAAAGAATAATAATTTTAATTCTGTTTCAATAATTCTTCACTCGGAAATATTGTATAACTGATGTTTAATTCTCAAAGAGAAATGAAAAACCAAGGTTCATATTTACATTTATGTGCAACTTCAAGATGTCTTGCCTGCAATAACACATTTATCTATTTTTAGAAATTTTCTACCATTCAAAAGTAATGGTTTGTTATTGCTAAGAACTATCATTGCTCGAGAATATAATTATCCATGCTTTGTTTCTACTGCGATTTTCCTTTCACTGTTTTTATTAGTACAACCTCTCATTCCTACCCCTTATGATCTCGAAGCATATGATCTCAACAACTGCTAATGAACCTCTGCTTTCGAAATTGCAAAAGTGAAATTTTAAATACCATTAGATAAAACAGATTACAAAATACTACATCAGTGTTAAAGTGATGTGAGAAGCAATTTATGGTTTTGTGAGAAAAGGAATTTAATGGGAAATCTGCAAGACCAAACTTTTTTTATAGTTTTTTGTTCCTGAAACTTTTTTGTGTTAAATTATATTTAATTAAAAGCTATGACATTTTTCTTCTCTCACAAGCAATCAGACAAGTTTAGTTAAGTTTATTGAGTGTAGTAGGCAACAGCCAAAGATTCCAATGACTCAACTCCTTATTTACTGAATATTATTGTTAAATTTATAATATTCAAACAATGTGTGTAAATAAAAAAAAATTGTTTTCCAATACAATACCTTACCTCTTCCCACATAATAGCTTTTCTCCATTAATACTGCCCTCTATATGCTCAAAACTTTTACTCATCATAGCCTTGATACTCCCCCACCACCACCACCATGTTTCATATAGTTCAGCTGTGCTATAGCATGTAAATAATCATGTGACAACCCTCAACCAATAGGAGGACAGCACACCCCTCAGGCAGCTAGCTCTCTCTGAATTATAGTATCTTACCCCACTTCTCGATTTGCCACTCAAATGTTTAGACTTATTGCTCACTGCACTTTGCGTTTTCAAATTTTGCTTAACTATTTCAGCACAGGCTCAGGGACTGATCTCGTAAACATTTTGTGCTTGTTATAGTTTTCATGCAATAACTTTTAAATTAGTAAGCGTATCTTCACAAAATTTTGCAGATTATCAGTGAACATTACAAGACTTTCGTATGCAAAATATCAGATTTTTTAATTATTTTTCTCATGTTTTTTTCTTTTGGAATGTTGACAATCCAACAGGCAAAGTAATTTTAAATTTATGATTAAAAATACTTTTATACACCTCCAGATAATTATTAAATGTATTTTTGAAAAAAAACTTTATATTTTGTTTGTTATTTTCACTATAGATTCTCTGTACGGGTTCAGTCTATTTGATCAACTTCTTAATCACCATAAAAAATTAGGAAATAAATATAATTTATGCTTTTTTTCATTCTAGAATGACTACAGATTATAATATGAAAACACAAATGTTTAGTCTAAATAGCTTAAATCTCATAATATTATACATTTATATATATTTATTATTTTTATTATATTGACCTTTCAGCCATGCCTGGCTAACATTACAGAAGTTGCAATGACACGGTGCACATGCATTCATGTTACTGTATCCAAGAATATAAAACTTGCCATTACAAAGTGACCTGTCTTGGCTAATTACTAAGTTACTAATTACAAATAAATTCTTATAACATAGAACAGTAAATTTTTCTATTTGCTGAGATATAACTACATTTACTGACTCAAACAGTGGCCCTGCCCACCTATTTCCATTTTTGGAAACACTTGCTTATGTACACTTACATCTGTCTATGACGTGTGAATAACCAATCGAAAGTTCAGAATGGCTATTGGCTTTCTCAGTCATTTTGAAATATACAGATACAGAACTTTTTCTTCTTATACAAGATTCCAAGTACTATGTTAAGACTTTAGTGAGCTCGAAATTTCATATTTTTTAAGACTACAATACATCTTAGTTAATAAGCTTGATAAATTATAGTAGAATTCTATGGTATTGATATAGTAATTTATTGGTTATTTCAAAATGTATATATGTATAATCTAAATAACTATTTCGTTTCACATCCTCCACGTGCAAAAATGGATAAGGCTTAGCAACCTATAGCAAGCAGGAAATGAGTACAAAGTTTGTAACTAAAAGAGATAATTTTTTTCTATACTTTTTCAACTCATACAGAACAGCTTTGAGATTACCAAAGTTGAAAGTTCAATACAAAACACTATGTTCCAGACTATTAACAAATTTAATCCTATCAACATTGGTCACTCAAAGACCATGTCATCACATTTGTTGACTCACATTCAAAAGTTTATTCAACTACTATTTTAATAGTTTATGTCAATAAATTTGGTATCAAACTGCAGATTATAACTCAAATTTCAGTATTATACATTAGTTAATTTCCTAATTTAAAAGTAAATATTAAAAAAACACACCTAAATATCAATTTTTGTGTGTTATGTGGTATATTGAATGCAGCATTGGTTCAAATTAGGGATGTTTGTGATACCCAAATACAAAGTATATAGTTTCTTACGAGTTAGGAACTCAAATTATTTATATTGACAAACTAGAATATAAAATAAGAACCTCCTATCTTTATTTTAGGAATTTTTTTTTCTTTTGTCTTGAGTTATTTACCCATTTCAAATTTCAGTTATGAATTCACAGTTTATTGTTACAACTTCTTCAAGTGCTACTACTACATTAGATCAACCACCTGTGACCACAGGTGTGCCGTTATCAGCAGAGGAGGTTTTGGTACTCATTCTGTGTGAAATGAAGTCATTCATGTAGACTGATGATTCTTCCAACTTTCAACCAATTCTTCCCTCCCCCTTCCTTTGCTGTGCAATCTCATGCAGATGTATTTGGTGCACCTAGACTTTCATCAGATTTTCTACACTTGGTCATTAACATGTCCATCACACACACACACTTCAGATGCCTATTATCAGGTATCGAATCCTTTTTTGAATTCTCAACAGTTGGATTCCTTAATCCAAGTTTCGGGCTTGGACCCGGATTCTTTAGTTCATTTTTCACATGCTCTTTATTACTGCCTTCATTTATCCTTAACCTACCTCCGATATTCCACCTCTACCATTCACCTTTCATCCAAGAACATTCATTGTTCCCCTAAGGGGTTTCGGGGGATGGTCGTTCCTTATCGTTGTCTGTGTTTGTCTTCCTCTGCTCTCTCCTTTCATACTTGGCTCCTGTGGTGTTGGGATTTGTTGAGCAGAGATGCCCTTCTGCACTTGCCCCTCTCATCGTTAAGAGAATTATGCATAGCTCCTTTTTCTGCATCAGTCCATATTTGGGAGTGACCCTGAGTCCTTGGGGTCTTGTTTGGAGTCAGCTCATCTCTACTCTTCCTTATCCTCCCTTAATATTTGTCTATACCAATCTTCCCTAGTTCTGTTCCTGTTTCCCTTCCACCTCCTATCCAGTTCTTTCTACTTGAGTTTCTGAGCTATGTCATCATATTTTTTGCTCCTGACTCATCCAACATACACAGTTTCGATAACTGTACGTTAGGTACAGGACCTGTGGGGGCCAGGCTGTACAATTTTGTCCCCAATTGGAAGAATTTCACCACAGATCCTTGGGTGCTACAAGTCTTATCAGAAGGAATTTTATTATCAATGACCTTGGAGACAGTAATTAAAAATAATAATTAAACTACTATCCTACTTTTAAATATTCTCTTCTAACTATTTGAATTTCCTACTTACATAAATGAAACTTATCAATCTATAAAACTAACCACAAACCTGTTCTTTATATTCATGTACATCACAAATTTCTAACTCAAATAGTTCAAAATAAGTGATTTCTGAAATTGATAGTGCCAAACATGATAAACTTCCACTAATTTATCTTTTCAGAATTTTGAACTTTTGAAGTCATAAAAACATACACGTATCACATAAAATCCACAAGTCCTAAATAGATTGTCCTTCTCACAATCTATTTGCCATTTTCTCCTTACACATATCTAAACTTTTTGGTTAGGATGTCATATCACGTGATCAAATAATCCAAAAGAAGCTGGGTTTCCCTCTCCTTGTACCTTACATGTAAATTAGAATTAATTGGTTCCCCAGGCCATTTGTGTATTTCTCTGAAAATTACTCCTACTCTCTATACACATAGATGTTTTCTGATAATTTGATACTTAGCACTACCCAGTGTTCGTCATTTTGTCTTACTATAAGAATAATGTTATAATTAATTCTAATTGGGTGTGAGTTGGCATCATACCTAAACAATAAAATTCAAGAGACATTGCAACTAAATGACAGATGGTATGTAACATATAAACAAAAAAATAATAAGTAAAAAATTAAAGAATACCACCTCATAAAATATTTTAGAGCATGAAAATACTTTTAGGCAATTATTAGCCTAAAATGTTGAGCACTGGAACATTGCTATAGTAAGACAAATTTAGTTCCCCAAAAAATCCAAATTATAAGTCACAAACACTTCACATATAAATGCTTCTATGCATATACAAATTTTTATCATGATGATTCTGCTCATTTTTTGTGCAGCTTCTTGGAGAAGAAACTGAGTGTGGCAGAAGGCTACTATCCATGATGAAACTAGAAGAAGCCAGTCGTCCATGTAATGATGTAACCAAAGCCCCTGGGAGTGGATCCATCTGGCAAATACTTTGTCCACTTCACAAAAAATGTATGGGTCCAAAAAGAGGCCAAAAGGAAGAGCTTGGAATTGATAGATCCAATCCTTGTGAACAAATCAAAGAAACTGACAAGAGCCTGAGGATGTGGAGGTAAGCATCAGATATGTCGAACTTTGTACTCCACAAACCTGGAGAAAACACCCATCAAAAGAGACAGAAATGACTCCATGGTGAAACAAGAAATGTCTAAAAATTGGTAAAGATTGGAAAGATCAATGATAGATTGCCAGTCCTGAAATGCCTCTGACAAATGCTGGCAGAATATGGGACCTCCTGGGGGAGAAAAGGGAAAGAAGACAAGGAAGGAGAAGTGCAAAAATAAAGAGAGAGCTGCATCAAATAAAATTTGTTTGAGGAATTTGTGAATTATAAATTTGACTTACAAGGTATTGAGCTTGTCTTGTTGGTAGACCAGTAATAAAATTATTTAATCTAACAGGTACTCACAATTTTTTTAAACTAAAATCTAACAGGTTTTTTTTTTTCTTCAAAACAAAGTTCCTTTGCAAAGTAAGTTTAAAACTGTTTTTTCATTTATGCATCTTCTTTCGTTTCTTGATTCCTAAATATTAAACATTCTCTTTTGTCCTGTTACTGTGCAAGCATATTAAGTTTGAACATATACATTTAATGTAGTTACTGTGTTTAAAGGTTCGTTTACTGTGTTGATGCATTTATCATTTTAAAAGATATAATATTATATCCCATGACAACAGGGATAGCCCAGAAATTATAAGTAGTAGCAGTTTATTTAAAAAATTGTGATATTAGGTATTGAAAGTTAAAAGTACATCTATATTCTTTTGTTCATTAATAGATTGCCCCAGAACAAGGTCTTCAGCCTGTAGTTCAACCAGACATGGTTAGACAAAAATGTTTACAAGAAGCTAAAGATATTGTGAAAAAGTGGAACAACACAGGACAAAATACCCAATTAGTAAGGAATGAAAAAATACTGGACCTTGTTGCCAATCTAACCTCTTTAATGTTGCAAGTAAAAGTAAGTGCTGTAATTACTAAAATATTTCATTTCTTAGCACATCATGGTATCCACATGCTTAGTTAGCACTTACATGAATTCCTGAACATGGTAAATTTTAACTACTTTCTTAACATTTACAGTTAAGCAAAATTTTCTAATGATTTCTTTGTTTTAAAAGGTACTTAAAACTAATTCCAGAAGCTTTCATAAGCCTTCATTTTTTGATCAGATGGTACTTATTTCAGAATTGTTTTCAGTATTTTCTTTCTTGAATATATATTCTGGTTCAATAACATGTATTTTAGAAGTTTCACATTTTCTTTTGTTTGGTGATGAAATGATACTTCTTTCAGAAGTTTAAGTTTTTCTTACCTCAAATTCAGATTATATATCCTTTACTTCAGAAACATTTACATATTTTCTCCTAGTATACTCTTGTCCAATGACAATTTTTCAACTTTTACTACATATTCTGAGATTATGCTAATTTTACAAGCTTTGAGGTTTTCTCAAATTTGCTTCATAATCCTTTCCAAGTTTTATGTTATTGTCAAATGCTATTTATTTTTGAAGCTTTCCATATTTTGTTAGTATATTCTTTTGTAAGATCAAACATATTTCAAATGTGTTTTTAGGTTTGTTATCATGTAAATGACACGGTTCATTAATTTCCATTTTGCCATTTTATTTTAAAATTGCATCATAGAAATATTTTCTTTATTTTATTAATCAGGCATATAAGAAAGAATTATAAAGAAATTTACTTTTCACGTCATTTATTTGCTAGTTTAGCAACATAGTCTTCAGCCAAATAGTACATGTATCTGTGTAAAATTTAATGTTTATGATAGAGCATATTAGTATGTATTGTTGGTGGTTAATTTCATGACTGGAATACATTATTCAATCAGTCAAGATATCACTAACTTGTATTCATTATTATAAAGTATATCAGTGTGTGTGTGTGTATATATATATATTTACTGTATTTATACTGTATAAATTTCTGAATTTTTTTGTTTCAGAATCTTGCTGAAAATGATCTGAATTCTTTTGAATTGAAGTCACTTTCAGACTCATTATCAGAAATACAAACTGGTATCGAACCACAGAACATTAGGTACTAACATATTCTTAAGATTAAATCAAATTTACTCTGTTTCAAGGTCACTTTGCAACATTATCTATGATTGTGTTGTTGTTTTTTTGTTTTATATTTGAAAAGTATGTTCCACATATGTTTTTATGCACTTTTACCAAATGTAAAAGCAGTAGATTGGATTCTTTCACGTCTTTTATGCATTTATACCAAAATGTCTTTTGTGCCAGCCTTGTATGTTCACAACCTTAGTCAGATAGACTTGAGTTTACTCACCATGTGGTCTTAAAAGCTAAATGGGGAGAAAAAGAATAAAACATAAATATAAGAGAAAAACTAATCAAATATAGCTTTTTTTATGAAACATATTTTGGGATTAGTTTTCTTAAAATTATGACTTACAAAAATGTTTAATTAAATCTTATGAAACACCCTTTTCAGATGTATATTTTCTAAGGCAAGTTAGTGTGATTTTATTTCTTAAAGAAAAATATCTTTACATTTCAGTTATTAGTATTTTAAATGCTTCCTTAAAAGCCAAAGGTTATTGTAATTGAAAAAAAAAACAACTTTGATTTTGTGGTATTAAATGTTCATTAGCAATGGGCATTTTTAATGTCCTACTGCTATTGCTCTTAATAGTTGTTGTATTTTCCTCTGAAATTTTACAATATGTTAATTTTAATTCTCTAGTGTATTCCAGAACGAGGTGGAAATTCACATCAATCATATCCAAGAAGGTTTGAGTCAGATGGGTAACTTACATGCATTTGCAAACCACAATATTCCTGTTTGAGAAGATAATAGATATCAACGAGTTTCTTTTAATGGAAAGAATTTTTGATTTTAAGTATTATTTATTTGGTCATTTTTAACTTCATAAAAGAATAATATAGAATGTAGAATGTAATATGAGCACAAAAAGTTAAAATTTTTAGCATTGAAAACTTTATAGACGTTACATTTTTGAGGGAATCTCGTGACACAATAAATCGTTTTTCACTTTGATATAAATTATACATATTTTAAAAATATGAAACTTGATTTTTGTTATGTGTTGTTTTAAACATATTTGTGGAATTAACGTGTAAAGCATTTTTATTTTAGAATTGCTTCTAGATAAAATGAATTAGCAATACAAATGTGTGTTATATCTTTTTGATTTTTGTATCATAATTATTAGGAGTTCTGTTGTATAATGCAAACAGGATTATTTTAATTTCTATTGAGAATTCAATGCATTTTGCTGTTTAAATGAAATAAGTAGAACCTTTACTACAAGTTAATTTTTTTGTAAATTTGTATAAAATGTCCCTAAGGTATTCAAAGTAAATTAAATTTTTTTTAATGTGTATCTGAAGTTGCATAATATATTTCTATAATTTGAGTTTTTATTCATGTTGTTTATTCTTTAAGTTAGAATTTGATTTTAAACCTATCTTCATAAAGTAACATTCAAGAATATTAAACTAACTTCTGACCAGAGCTTCAAGAATATTGCTCTGAATTGTTTTAATTTCACTATATGTACTTTGAGCTGCCCAAAATATATATAAACGTGTCACATGGGATTATCCTAAACCTTAAGTAACCTTATGTGAAATGTTTCATTTGTAACATAATGGTTGAAAGGTGCTGATATTGAGAAGAAGCACTAAAGTATTTAAAGTATACAACCACACAGGAATTATGTAGTTCATACAGCACACATACATTTTTGTAATAAGTATTGAGAAAGAGAGATTTATTATAACCCATGCTTTTGAAGTGATTGAGAGCCTTCTTTATAATAATAAAAGCTCAAGTGATTGAAATTTGAAACATTTTATATGTTGTTTCTACAAGATACTGTAACTACAGGCAGTGAGCTATTTATCAGACTGAAAAATTGTACATAATAAACTCTCTTCTTTTGTTTCTGTAATACAAGACCATAAGTGTACTATCAACGTTATAGGTATTATGGAGTTAAAGAAAGAAACTTAGAGAAGTTCTTATTGTTTAATAATTGGCTGAAGGAGACCCTGTGGTTAGCTGCCAGACTATGGTGCTGTTGTTCATATCCCATTACCATAAAGTGCACTCTGTACTTAGGGGACAGGTGTATATTACAAGTAACAGAAAAATCCCACCTATTGATCTGACAAGAATTGAAGATGAGTGGTGTTGACAACTGCTTCCCCCTTATTCTATCATTTCAAAATTAAGGACAGCTGGTGGAGATATTCCTTATGTAGCTTTGTGCAAAATTCAACAAACAAGCAAATAATTCTTGTCTAGAACAATCACACTGTTATCAGTCTAGATTAATTTTAGTAAGATTTGAATCGTTTTACATTCATAAAAGGCAAAGCTTGTCATTGAATTTTAATATTTTAGTGTTTTTTTTCAGAGAAACATCTAATTCACAGCAACTTCATCTTTTGGTAACAATAGTAAATTGTTTTATGTTGAGTATCTTAATACATATCTATTATCAAAATTAATCTGATTAGTTGAATATACTTCTTATTTGTGTTATCTTCAATTTAAGAAATAAAATGGAAAAAACACCAATAAATCAATAACAGTTTATTAAAACAAAATGCTCAGAGTTTGATATGTTGCTGTTTCAGCTATCAGTAATTTAGACATCATCAAGCTGAGTGTGAGTTGTGAGACAACGAGATAAATATGTTTAAAAAATCACGTGAAACAACGTCACTGTTAAAAATTATGTGATAAAATCTCGTGTCTGACGTCATAAACCACATTTATGTAACAGGTCGTCAAACTAATATCCTTAGAACATCATACAAATGTAAGGTCTATAAACCAGCTTACAAAAGTAGGATCATTAAAAGAACATATAAAGGTAAGATCGCTGAAACTACTTGTTAACAAATATATTCCAAATAAAATTGAAGCATTGAATAGTCTGGACCTTCATTTTATTTGAATTTTATATTTAATTGATATTAATTTCCGATCTCAGCAAGCTATGTCCTTGTAGTTAAACTAAAAATCAACCCGTAAATCTACATAGCAATAAGATATACTTTACTTACGTTTCTATTTACAAAGATTAGAATCAGTTGTTTGACGACCGTAATCCCAATAATATCTCGCAATGTTCGGCCATCTTAGAAGATCGGTTCCAAATACATATAGTAAGCTAACAACGCAAACAATTTGTAATAAAAGTATAACAATAATAAAATTAAAAGTAATAATATTCGATATGTTAAGTAGTCTAATCAATACTATTAATGAGAATAATAAATAATATAGTATATCTTACATCAGCATTTTCCAAACTTTTGTCATCCATGCCTCCCCTTTAATAAATGTGGTATTTGTGAGTTAAGTGACGAGACGTAATACATGGACGGGCATTAAAATGCTATATATGTTGTAATAGTTACTTATTATTTTCATTAGTTAAAAATATATCAAAATGCTTAATTAAGCACTATTGACTCTACCCTCGTCGTTCGCGTCCCCCTGGAGGGAGGGGGCGTGCCACACACTTTGGGAAACGTTGCCTTAGGTAGAGAACACAGAAACACTAACTTTTAGCTAGTGTTATAGAAGTACATTTCTTTTTTTGAAGAAACATAAGCTAGTATAACGTGCCTGTTTTTTCTCCAATTCTCCCTAATACGTCTTTTTTAACCAATGAAACATTAAGCCACTCCCACTGTCTAATAAGAACGCGGTAGCTGGGGTTACGGCACATGCCGAGGAAGATGTGTTGGTGCTGCCCGCATTTTCGTAAAATTTTTATTATTATTATTAAATTTTTGACTCGTGTTTTCAGTTTCTACTGCTACATTTTATTCCTTATAACATTCGCTTGGTGTGGTCTGTGCATTCGAATATGAAATGAACAAAATTATGACTATTATGTATATACATATTAAAAACACATTAAAATAAAATATACAACCAACCCACGTTTTCAGCACCCCAGTGTGATATTTGTTCCCACATTTCTGTTAACTAACGTTAGAGAAGAATGACATCTGTGACGGACTTATGATGATGACGTGTCAATGTTTATTAAACCCTGACGAGTTAATAGCACTAACTTACCTACAGTACAACCAAAAGCTGATTTTTATGATAATACAAAATATACATGAAAATATAACAATGTTAAAAACAAAGAAAAAATATACCATATGGTATGTTTAACACTATCACTCCAACGTTAACTAACCACTGACACTTAAACACTTAGTGGTGACTACAGGAAATAATAAATAACATAAATTTTCTGTTCAAGCCGGAAAGGGAACACCATAAACCTCTAAAAATTTCAATAGAAATAAGACTTGGAAAGTTACAACAGTCGTTAATATGGCAAAAAAGTAATTATCAAAAACTAATTTAACTAAATTTGATTTATTTCCTACACAGGGGTAAATCTGAAGGCTAAAAATCGGGTTACGATGCCCGTGGTGGGCACATCTCATATTGTGTAGCTTTGTATTTAATAACAAATCCTTACATTAACTTCAATATAGTTATTTAAATGAAAAATAATTATGTTCATCCAATAGTATATAACTATTAGTATTAACTACGTGTTCTGCTATAATAAATTTTTTTAACTACTAGGTTATGTTCATTCAACCGAGATTTTTTCTTTGACCCACATGAACACAATTACATTTGCGATCTAACTTATAACCTCTCGAAGTAGATTCCTGAATGTGGTGAGGGGACCTCCCAGGGAAGGTTCTGTATTTTCTCCTCTGGGATTTGTACATCCACCCACGTGCTTGGCGACCCGTGAAGAGGAGGAAAGGATTTTGGTGGTTGAGTGGTGTATGGGGCACTGCAACACACCACTTTGGCCTCGAATTCCTGTAGACGGATAGCCCCCTAGGGCAATCAGCTGGTCCTGTTTGGCTAGGGTCAACTGAGTATCAGTGTTGGGCGATCTCAATGGGTGTTGTGGATATTGTGTCTGATGTTGGTGTTTGGGTATAGTGCTCACAAAACCCTGGCATTGCTGCAGTGTCCTTGTTTTGCAATATAGTGCCGCCCCTCGTAGGACCCCATGGTGAGGGGGGTCAGTGGGCACTGAATCTTTCTCTTTATGGATCCCCCAAATCCAAATAAAAATAAAACAGTAAAACTCCACTCATTGGTTAAAGATCTTGAAGACACTGATAATCAATCTTCACCTCATCTTGCTCCTGTACCTCGTTTTCTGATATTGCATTCATTGTCAGATAAACCTTTAGGGCAAATGTCTCCCTTTTTCATTCAGAAGGTATTAGAGGGGCTTGCTGGCTCTCCAAAATCAGTAAGGAAGCTACATTCTGGGGACATCTTGGTGGAAACATCTACACCAAAACACAATGAACTCCTCTTGAATTCGAAGGCCATTGAGGTTCCCCCCATGCAACTTTGAATTCCTCACAAAGAGGTATTATTTAGAGGAATTTGAAGAACATCCCTGAGTCGGAGATTCTCGCTGGTTTTTCCAGCCAAGGAATTTCTGCAGTATGACGTATCTCCACTCGTAAAGACGGAATTATGCTGCCTACCAATGTTCTCATTTTGACATTTATATCACTGCTGTCGAGGCAGGTTATTTGAACTGTAAGGTACGGCCATATATTCTCAACCCTCTCAGATGTTTCCAGTGTCAGCGGTTTAGTCATTCAAAGGCATTCTGTCGTGGTTCTGTGATGTGTGCTCTTTGTGGTGGCAAGGACCACGATGCCTACGAGTGTGAACTAGACCCTCACTGTGTTCATTGTAGTGGTTCCCACCCCTCTTACTATAGATCTTGCCCTAAATGGGTGGAGGAGAAAGAGGTACAACGTTTAAAGACTGTTAACATTACTTATAATGAGGCTCGGAAGTTATTGTCTCCTACTCCATCTCGGACATATGCCACTGCACTATGCTCCACTGCTATAGTGGGAGTGCAAATGGACCTTTCTGTGCCTCCGTTAGAGTCTTTTTCACATCATGTGAAGAGTCTTTTGACCTCAATGGATAATCGAGTCGATAAGTCCACATCTACTCCTGTCTCTGTTCCCACCGTTACTTCCAGTGACTGCCTGGGTCCACCTCCTATGGCCCCAGCCTCCAGTGTCTGCTTGGGTCCACCTTATTTGACCCCGAAATACAGAACAATCATTTGCTCATGCCCTCATTCGCTGGAATTTAAGTCTTATTACAGAGGTCTGCTCACTCGACCAAGGTCAGGATCCATGAAGGTCGATAGACCTCCTAGTAAAGAAAAATGGCATGGTCCTAAACAGAAGGGTTCTTTGCCATGTTCTCTTCCACCTACGTAAAAATGGCCGCCTTGATCAATTCCTATCATCCCATGTGTCTTTCCTTACAGGAAACATTTGTGAAACCTGCTGATACAGTTATCTTTTGGCAGTTTTCTTTATACTGGAATGACAGAATATGTGATGGATGAGTGCATGGAGGGATGACACTGCTGGTCGACCAACACTTGCCCACCTTGTCTATGTCACTTGATACACCCTTGGAGGCCATAGCCATCCGTGTTTCCTTGGGTTGTACCATCATTGTTTGTTCTCTTTACCTGTCTCCTAGAGAGACTTATGATCAATCAGACCTTGATGCTTTCATTGAACAGTTGCCATCTCCTTTTTTACTCCTGGGATACTTTAATGGACACAATCCCCTCTGTAGT